GTACAGCAGTGGATAGAGAGTATTTCAGAACTTCCCAGATTAGTAGCAACTGGAATTTGTAAAGAACACATGCTGATATTTGTCTAATTTGTAATAGCCATTATTTGTAATAGTCATTATTCAAATCTGTATATGTAAATTCAGCTACAGTGCATAATATGGTTGTGATAGGATTCATTCAGAAAGGGAGAGGGTATTAAACAAATAATTTGTTAAAAAAACCTTGATCATATATTGATCATTCAGGTTTATTTCAATATAACATTCATATAGTGAGTGACATATCTGTGTTCCCACTTATTTAGTTACCACCCACTTTTCATTAGAACATCTCTCCAGCTGATGCAACACTGATGATACAATCATTGCGGGAATTAAACATTTGTCTATGTAAAATTCCTACTGATGAGTATACAGTATAATTAGGGCAAATGATTGCAACTCTGTTGTTAGAGGTTGGTGCAAAACAGTGGTAAATTAAAATGCCAATGTTTACAGGCAGAAAAATATGTGGGGAAAAAAACACTTTAAAACAAGGTTAGGGAGGTTGGAAGTTCAGTTTTAAAACTTGGAAGATCAGCCCTGACAGGGGAGTGTAATATCTCCCTTGTAAATGTCCATGTAAGATAAGTCCTAGATACAATATTTGCTTTTCACTGAAATAAAAGAGAAAGATTTCATATGTTTTGTTTCCAAAGTGTTCTGCTGGATATATGTTATATTGAACAATTACCCATGTGCCTTGATTTTCATTGCAAGAAAAAACCCCCCTACATCTTAAAACAATTTCAGTATCAGAGCAGCATTATGCGTGTTACTCAGAAGTAAGTCCAACTGTGTTCAGAGAAGATCCTTCCTGTACTGAGGCACGAATCAGTACGAATCAAATGCATTTGCTGGCAAAGAATGCAGTCCTTTATATGTTACTGAAAGTATGTTCAGGACTGTAATCTTACATGTTTTGAAAGGAATAAATATCTGAGGATAAATCTATTGTCCCTAATTTTGTTATGTTACAGCCCATCTGTAATTACATATATAGGAAACTGACACAAAGCAAGTTTTTGGAAGTTTTGCCATTCACCTTGGGAAGACCACAAACCCAAAAGCAAGTACATGCACATATACGTAAACTTCCAGCCAGAGACCATAATATGACAAACTGTCACTGCATACAAGTCATATTTCACTTCAGTGAAATGAATCTAGTAAAATATTAATCCATGTTCCTTTCAAATGTCCAACATGACTTGAAAGTATCCAGAACTTTCCTGTTGATTAAACTGATAAATGAATTGGGCAGAATGTTTAGCAACACCCAGAAATGGGTTGCAAATTGCACATGAAAGATAAAAAATAACATATAACAATATGATAATCTAAAATGATACTATACAATCCTTTTTGGGTGCTTTCTCATTCCCATTTAGTATTTGATCTGTTTAAAATGCTATTTTATAACATGGTGCTTTAAAGATCAAATCATTCTAACTTAGAATGCTTTTAGATTTTGCCTAGTGCAGTTTTCCAAAGGTTTGCTTGACTTTCAGTTGCTATGAAAATATTTCTTTTACTATAAATGTTGGCTCAGAACTTCATATATAAATGCAGTATATCCAGTGTAATGTATAATATATGTTTTCTTTCTACTTTATTTCAGTAAGAATCTCTGAGCTTCAGTTTAAAACATTTACTCCTATTTACTTAACGATAGAGGTTTCAGCATATGTTCAGCTCCCTTGCTGAAGTAACTGGGACTTCAAGTTGTTTTTGATAAATTTATTGCACTTGAAGAAAAACAAGCTAATTCAACCATCAATATAATTGCTGTGTCCTTTTAAAAATATTTAATGCAACTGAATGCTTCTGAAGTATCAATTCATTAACTATGAAGAGATTCCATAATGATTATTCTCCATTGTGGCATGCCCAGTAAGGTTTGGATTTAATTCTGTCTGATAAGGTTTATCAAAACAGTCAGAAAAAGTCTTACTTACCACCTGGAAGAAGCCCATGTTTTATAGGTTCCTGAGTGTTGCTAGTATCCGAACCAGAAGACATAATTAAGCGCAAATATATAGTGCCCTTGGGTTGCAGGTATACAGCATTGAACGCAGCAAAAGGTGAGGCTTGTAAACTTCTCTGGCCTTGGGACAGCGGCTACAGTAACCTTCAGTGAAAGTCAGGAAGCAGTCCATCAACGGTGCGCACACACAAACACACACATGCAAACGAAAAATCCAATAATTCAGAAAGTAACAGGCCAGGCTTTCAATGGACTCTGTACTTTTTCCAGCATTAGTGACCCTCTGTAAACCAGCCATCCCATTTCATGATGGTCTCTAATCAGGAAAATCAGGAGCTGGGATAGGCTGGACTTGATCACGTGACCCCCAACAGGTTGATAAGCAGACCCTGTTATAAAGTGACAGCAAAAAGATAAGAACTCTTGGCAGATAGCAACAGAGAAATGATTAACTCTGTGTTGGAGAGGTGCTATGAAGCAGAGAGAAGAAGGCTGTAAACCTGTGGGGGTCAGAAGATCATACCGAGTGGATAACCTCCCCCATCTCCATCCCAATGTAAAGGGTAACACCTATAAACTCATGTTGGTGACCTGCCTCTTGATGTCATCATCTCTTTACTGAGTGGACAACAATGTTGAGCTCCTGGGGCTTCTGTAAATATCTGGGAAGCCACAGCAAGCAAACATTCCTGCCTTAACCTGGCCTGCAACATATTTATTGCTCCATATCCCAAAGCCATACTGTGGAGTAAACCCATGGTGATTTTCTGTCTGACACAAACATTTTATTGTACTTATTCATTAGACAGGAGACTAATCCCAGCTTGTTTGTCTGATAGGCAGCAGTTAAATGTATAAACTCTCTCTCCCCCATAACTTAAAAGCCCTTATTGCGTGGTTAAATATGATTGTCCAGGGAAAATTGTGGCATCCACACAGTTGCACTGATTTTTGTGTTTAGTTTGGTTACCTGACTTGAATAAAATATGTTTCAGGACTCCTCAAATCTCCTCAAACATTATACTGAGGCCCCAGCAACAGTGTTTTGCCTAAATTTCATCCCTGGCTCCTCCAGGTAGGATTGGGGGGGAAACTTCACGCAGTGTAGACTAAACTGGGTTGGATGAATAAGGGTCTTTGAATCTATAAGGCAGCTTCCTATGAAGTGATTCTTCTTTCCTAAATGATCACTTCATACCTGTGGGGCATGCTGTAGGATTATTCATTGCTGCCAACAAGGCAATTCATCCAGGGACTGGTTGTGACTCATCACCAATCAACTGTAATTCTAATGTGTGGGGAAATCATAATAATTAAAAGAATAAAACATAGAGATAATAATAACCACAATATTAACATTTTAACTGAAGCATTGCATTTAGGTGTCAAGTTATAATGCCTTTCACAACATTTAGCATTATTTATGATTCTTCTCATGCCAAATGACATTCAGTCTACTTCTGACATTCAGTGTGCAGGAGATTTAATCCTATACTTCCTTTCCTCCAAGTGAGCAAATTCTCAGTTAGAAAAACTGCCATTGGTGCCAAAAATGATAGGGTAAGGTAGATACCACTTGAGGTACTTCAATTTGAGCTGATGGGAAGTAATATTGTTGAAAGCTTTTCTCTGTAAATATCTTGCATGTAGTAAATCATACTGGACGTAATCTGTTCCTATAATCTGTACACATTTATTGGGGGAAAGGAACATACTTTGAGAAACATTCAGAAATATGATGTTTTGAGTGGTTCAGTCTGAATTTGGTAGGACGTTTCCTGGCACATTATCCTGCATAAACTAGGAAGTGACTTTAATCCAATTAATATTTTTCAGGCCCAGTTCTTTCTTCTCTGTTTTGTAGCATTTTCTTTTATTACAGTGCCACAATAAGACCTGTCAGGTTTTCATGTTTTCCATCTCTGGAGGTGTTTTTACACCGACTCATCTGTGAAGAAACTGTTCATCTCTGGTGCATTTTCTTGAGTAGGATACAGGCTGAGACTACTTAATCCCACTATCATCATGGATTGGAGGGAGCCCCTCAACAAGCCCCAGCCCTCTCCTGTAGCTGCATGTTGGCCAGGGAAGATTCATAACTCTGGGCTAGCTATCTTTTCTCGTTGCAATCCCCCCATACACATTTCTTGGAATCTGGTACTGTGCTGGAAATTTATTCTACGTTGTTTTCAATCATACTCACTTAATATGAGGGAAAAAGAAATTGCCTTTGGCTTTTCCATAGGAGAAGAACATTTCAGTGACATTCTTAGAGGTGGGGTGACATTCTCATGGGTGAAGTCACATTCTTATGGATGGATGTGAGTAGGTGGGGTGTCCTTTCAACCACAAAATTTCATTGTGTCAGAGTCATGCTAGTCTTTGAATGCTGTGTTAGGGGGCTTATTGCATGGGGCAATGGGGTGATATTAACAGATTTAAAAAGAGGTTGAAAATTAATTCAATATTAATATTATGTTCAATTGATTATTTGTCAGATTTCCACACTTATAATGATCTTCATCCTCTCACATCTCAACTAATTCCTAAATTTAAACTAAGAAATAATATGAACAAAAATGGAGAACCTATTATGTTATACACAGAGCCAAGTGTGATATAATAATTGAAGAATTAGATTGGCATTGGGGAGGATGAAGCTTTATGTATACTACCTAGAGCTCCTGAACAAAAGGCAGGATATAAATCTAACAAACAAGCAAATACTCTCCAAGTTACAGATACGTGGACATGAGTCTTATGTAAAGAAAGTAGGGTGATGCAGAGAGAGCTGGTTTAAGTGGGTGCGTGTGTGTGTAGTTAACTCTTTGTTGGGTCACATGTAGCCCTAAGCTGTGTAGGTTTATCCCTGCTTTACAACAATTTTACAATAGTTTGCACCAATATTGGCATTCCACATTTCAATTAAGTCCCCATGAAAAAATATAATTAGGGAGTTCTCACAGATCTGTTTCACATTGGAAAGCAGGTACAGCTAGGAAGCAGATATGTAACAGAATAAAATAAATCAGATTAATTCTTATTATCACAGCCAAAGGCCAGCCAAATAAAATGCTTATAATACTGAGCAATAATGTAAAAAATACTTAACTGGAGAATACTTATTCATCTATATATATACATTCACAGAAACATACATATAATACATATACACATTTTTAATCTAAAAACATTCCAAGACAGACAAAATAAAAATTAGATTGTGATCAACTAACAGTCAAATAGCCAATCCACAAATGGCCAATTCACAATTCACTAGATAAGATTTTATGCTATTATACAAATGTTGTGATACTTTATATAATGAAGTCATTTTTGTCTGATAACAGAGAAACACAGAATTGCTCTGATCATTCTGGAAAATGCAGAAGGGTTATGATATACTTGGTGTGATAGTTTCTATAAAAGATACAGTAGAGTAAAACATGAGCAGCATTTTTTAATCATTCCTCTTTCACAGACCAGATTCATTCCTTATAAAAAGTGTTTAAAAAGCAGCATGTTTTTTAAAAACATGCTCAAAAACTCAAGAAATTCCAAAGTATCCTGAAAATTAGTAGAAAAACAGAAGCCTCTTTTACAGAGGAATGAAACATCTAGGAAATTGGTGGACAGATATCTGAAGAGTATTAATTAACATTAAGCCACTGGGATTTCAGAATTCACTTGGGGAAGTGGAAGAAAGTTTGTGCATTTTATTGAGCATGAACACAATGATTTGTGTAATCACCTGGTACAGTAGTGTTAGTTCTAAAAGTTACATCATCTTAAGTCTAGACTTCATGCTTATACTGTATAATCGTCATTGTTTTTACCAGAATCTAGAGAATAGCAAGTGCAAAACTTAAGCATAAGCATGCCTTAAGAAATGTGGAAAAAAAATATGTTTTTGAGTGCATGTTTGGCTGGAGCTGTTTTCAGTACCAGAACTATACTCAAACTTTTGTCACACACTTATCTATTTCTGATTTTCCCCTAAACTTTTAAATTTCAGCATCCTAACTGTACTCTTATCTGAGAGTAAATCCCATGGGCACAGTGGTATTTAGATTAAACACATACACACACAGACACAGAGGGACTGTTGGGAAGGGGAAATATTTATTGCTATTGTTAGATAGCTGGGAGTCAGAATCCTGGCTTGAGCTCCTGCAAATCATCTACTAGGTGGTAATCTATCTTCTGCTGATCCAAGTATGGGTTATTATCTGATGGAGCTGGTAATTTCAGCTACGTAGGTCAGAGATGGACAATCTCAGTCTCTCCAGAATTTGTAGAATTACAGTTCCCATGATCCCTATCCATGCTGGTTTGAGCTGATGGGAGTTGCAATTCAACAACATCTGGAAGACCCATGTTGTCCTTGCAGGAGAGAAATTCTTAGGCTGAACTAGTATTGCTATTATGTTTTTCATTCATAAAGGGAGGACTTATCCTATAATTAATTAAAAGAGTATTGACGGCTTTTGGCGATGAACAGGCTTAATATCCCGTATAGCTAGTCAGGAAATGGACAAATTGAACAGACAAAGATTGCTCAAACAACCTGTAACAACCACTCCTGTCCTCAGCTTCTAAAGACTTTTGAACCACTCCTCAGTCTAACTTATTGGCATGCTAAGAAAAATGATATTAATGAGTTACATTAGCTACATTAAGGCTTATCTGGAAGGCTCATTTGCTAGAAATGATAGTGTTGCAGATCACACTGTGAGAAAATGCCAGGTTTTTTTAGTCATTAAACAGGCAGGGGGTGGGAAAGAACCTGTATTTCTGGAACAAGCCACAGATGCTTGCCTTTCCATCAGTAGGTTAGGATGCCTGGAAAGTAGAAGCCACAGTCAGCCAAAACTAAAATAGGAATCTACCTAGAAATAGCAGAATAGGCATTATAATAGTGTGTCTTTATCTGTTCATATTCTAAAACTATGTTGGAGAAAAATGGTCACCCTCCATGTGTTCTTGGACATTTGTAATATAACACCAGCTCCAGTCAGTTTAGTGGGGTTTATAGTACAGTAACATCTGGAGGGGTACAGTCTGTCTATCTCTGATTTACAACTCCGGCATCTAACATCTTATTGGTATTTCATGATTTAAGGGTAACAGCTTAAAAAAGTCAATAGTGACTGTTGTTACACATTTACTAGGATTGTATTACATTGAAACAATCATGTAGTGTGTGTGTGTGAATGTGTGTTTACTGTATTTATAAATTTATATGTCAGCTATTCCAAGAGCTCTAGATGTCTGTC